AAAAAAAAAATCCGACCGACCGACCCAATTTTCAGATTCCATGTAATGCAAAACGAAAAATTAACTTTGCGTGGCCTAATAAGAATAAGCATATAAGGCAATTAATAAATGAAATTATTGCGGTGAAAGCAGTATAGGTTTTGAATATTCGAAGGCAGTTGTGGTACTACTTACCCTGCCCTTCGCCTTTGATTGTTTTGATTAATTTTGCTATAACTTCTGCTGGTCCACCGAGAAGCTCATAAGGGGAGGCTAGAAGCTTTTCCAGTGTTAACTCAAGGAAGGCTGGGCCGGAAACATGGTTATCTTTAAGTGGTTTAATGTCATCATCATCGAGAAATAGCTTTTCTATATTAGATTCCAGAAAAGTAGCAACATCAGTTGGCAACCATTCATTAACTTCTTCGACCGACGGAAAAGTAATATTAATCGACATGGTTGTTTATTTTTTGTTGTTTGAATAGCTTACATTCAACAGATTAGATTGTCGTACAACAGGTCACGTATTGTTACACGATAAAATGATGTATTTTTAAATAATGCCGGTCATTGTTGTGCCCATAAGCACATAAACACGTGAAATGTTGTGCCCGTAGCAATCTCATACTACTGTACTACTACGTAGTAATTAGATTTATGAATAAGTTTCCTCCTTTCAATTAATTATTCATAAAAGAATACGTTTTATAACATTATCAGGTTTATTACGTAAACGATAAAGTATATTATTTCTATTTGCTTCGCTATATGCAGAAATAAAAATATTGTGTTACAAATGAATATATATATGTGTGTGTTATAGCCGCATAACGGGTGATTGATTTCTTCGTAACTCATTATATTATGAAATTATGGTCGATACGTTTAGCTCTAAAAGATCAGAGTATAATGGAATATGTGCAAATTGCAATCTATATAATACATCTCGCGCTTGGTGTCAAACATGTGATCCTCAGACAATAATAAAAGGATGGACAGGTGGAAATAAGGAAGTCGATGATTGTATTAAAAAATTTCAACTTAAAGCTACTAAATACAAAGATGTAATCGAATGGATTCCTTTTAATAGATTAAAGAATATTCAAAACATTGGTGATAAATGTTTAGCTACTTGGTTAGATGGAATACGAAATGTAAAAGATGAATTTGTAGATAATGAATTTAAATATACACAGTCACGTATACCAACATATAAAGTGGATCTTAAAACATTGGTTAGGTTATCAAATATTCAATAAGGTAGCTGTGCGACGCTGTCGCACTAAAACCAGGAACGTAGATCTTGAACAATTAGTATGTCATAAAGTTTTTTGATCAGACATCAATCTAAAAAAAAATGAAGGAATCATTCGTGCATACTTATTTTGGCATGACATAAATAAAAACGTGCTCTGAGGTGTAATTGTTAAAAATATATTCATAAAAATAACGGTTAAAATAATTAAAACTTAGAATACAAAAAACTTATAATATTTTTACGAAACCAAAAAGATTTACAGCTTGACATTGAAGATATGGAACTTATTTGGGAAACAAAAATTATAGGCAACACTTTCTTCTTTGAAATAAGATGAACTTAAAGATTGTGATTTAAAAATAGGCTCCATTTTAGCTGTTTTAAATTTAATTGAAAAACTCAAAATGAATAATATTACAGTTTCTGGTAAAGTATAAAATTTAAAACAACTATATATATGTTGTATAGCTTATTCAGTTTTTATTTATAGACAAGCGCCTTCATTTATTAAAACTTGGAAGTTTTCTCAAATTAAATACTTTGAATATTACCCATACGAAGTTTGGCCGCTAAAACATTTTGACAATTGGGCTATTGAAAATAACTTTAATAAGGACACTTCACATCAAACCTTTTACAAAGTATTATAATCAATAAATGCAGATCAAAGAGTTTCGTTAGAACTTCATAATGTTACAAAAAACCATTAAATAACAAAAAGGTGAGCTAATTTACTGAGATTAACATTTAAAGTAATGATGATGGGGTTTTTTACCAAGTTACTTGCAACTCTAATTGGGTATGTCCTAATTAGCAAGTTTCTGAATCAGGTGCCTATTTTCTGGGTACGTCCTGGAAGATAGTTGGGTACGTCCTCTGCATCTGGCCGTCTGCACTTTTTATTTTATATAATACTCATTTTTTATTTTTTTTAAGGTTGATATCGCAATAGCAAATGAACAATGGAGTTGTAACACGTTGAAGGATTCAATGGTCTAAGTTTAATACGGTTAATATAAATAAATTAATAGGATAAGGTAAAAAAAAAAAAAAAATGTAAATCATAAATTTATGTTCTTACCAAATTCGAACATTATTTTCTAAACAAATAAAATCAGAATCTGGTGCTTCATATTCTAGATATTTTCTTATGAAATCTGTAAGATACATAAAAAATATATTTTACTACTAATATAAATTAAAATTTCTTGGAAAATAATTAATTACCAGATTCTTTCATAAATGGTTCTAATTCTGCTGAATTTTGTACTTTTACTGTTGCTGGTGGTACAGATATGTGTTTGATCGCTCTGTCAATGATTAAAAAGTCGTCAGTGATAATAAAGATAAAAGCTAAATACGAATGGTAAATAACAATATTCTCATTTGGACGTTTTTTATTGGGCACCACCACAATAAATCTCCTTACATGCTTTGATCTATTGACGAAGAAAATATATATTGTGAACAGCTTACACAGAGAAGTCCTAATTATAAAAGAACCAACAACTTTAATGGAGACATTACGAGGTAAAATTCCAATACTGATTACAGACAAAAATTGTCTCGACACTTACATATCTAGCAATTTGCGTATGTTAATATGGTATTTAATGTCGCAATGATGCTGATAATGGCTGATTGCTAAAAGTACTAAACTCACTAAAATCCATATACTGTACATATACTCATTTTATTAACAATTCTAACATGATTCCAATATAATACAAAAAATAAAAACTAAGAAATATGCGCCCAAAAATTTTTAAATTTTTATATCAAAATAAGAACAATTCTCAGCAATAGCCAATCTTAGCTTCAACCGCGAAAAATTGGTAATAACTTGTAATATATTAAAAGTTCATTCTTTTTCTGTTTAATAAATTTTAAAAACACAAAAAATATTTTGTAAAAATATTTTGTCACAAATAATAAATCCTGGAATTAATAACCTGCTGGTAGCTTTATTTTTTTTATACTTATCAAAGGTTCGTATGAATCTTTTTTTTTAATTTATTATAAAGATAAAATGAATTGATTATGAACATAAAAATTTAGGCATAATAATGCTTTACATAAAATGTCACCGTTTTGTTGTTAGATTATAACGTTTCACTACATTGCACATTGGTTATATTTCGGAAGCAAAATCCCAATTTTTTTACCGTTTTACTAAATATTTCTTCCAAAATGACATTGTTACCGAATGTATGTCTTTTTGAAATATTTAATAATTTTCTATCTGATTATCAAACTGATTATAAAAGTTTGTTTTCATGCCTTCTTGTAAATCGTCGATGGTGTAGAATTATAATATCAATATTATGGAGTGAACCTAAAAATTATCTTAATGATAAAAGACTTATATGAATATATCTTTTAGTATTAAATGCTGAAGAACAGGCTCAGTTGATTCCCTTTAAAGTTATTCTTCCAAATCACCCGAAGCCATTATTTAAGTACGAAAGTTATACAGTATTACATCTGTTGGTTTTGATTTGACTTATGGGGTCACAAATTGGCTGAACAACGAAGGATATAATAATATTGAAA